CGTTTGCAGAACTGACTCGGTTTGCCGATCGTCACTTCTATGCAGACTGGTGGAATTCCTGTGACTGGTAAGCTGGAACAGGCTATCGTATGCATTGGGGTAACTTGATTAACCAACCTCTACGTAGGATGGAATTTTCCCGCGAGTGGAACGTTCCTGTCCACCACTTCCTCTTCCGCCACGTCTACTGGCCCGCCCGATCTAACTTCTCTCAGCCTGTGGCCATGGTCATCACATTCCTGGTCAGTTCCATATTCCATGAGCTAGTGATGAGCTGCATCACCAAGAAGCTTCGGGGATACGGTTTCCTAGCTATGATGCTTCAACTGCCTATTGTTGCGATTCAAAAGTCTCGCTACTTCCGTGGCCGAACAATCCTAAATGTAAGCCTTCATTTTTTTTGCTTTGGTATTTGCGCTTCTAACTGACTTTATTCTAAGAATGCTTTCTTCTGGTGCTCGATGATTTTGGGCCTGTCTATGGTAAGCTCTACATTTTCAATTTGAGGTATGCAACATCACAGTATATTTGGCTCTAACCATCAATTCTCTTTAGATGTGTGCATTCTATGTTCTAGTTTAGAATCAGGACTTGGCGTGTATGCGTTTATACACGGCGAGCTAGCAAGGAATAAATTGGGCCAAGGAAGGTATGTGACGTTGCCGGCTTGCCATTAATACATGATACCCTACAAGGTGTCTTCCGCTCTTGTACATATATTCAGTTGTTATAGATTCATTTGTTCTTTTTTCCGCAGTGTACTTTGATATTGATAGTACCTTAATGAAGTATACCACCTAAGGACTTGTCTGTACCGCTGTAAAAAGAAGATCCGGCCGTTCATGTGGGCTCTGGCCTTTAAAAATAGGACCTGGGCAACCTTCACATACGTAAGGCTACTGAAAAGACTATGAAAAGACCCATGAGATATTTCAAGGTCGTATAAGCCGCCATCTACATTTGTATGGTTATAGAATTGAAATATATTGAATTGAAGTGAGGAGTATTCAGTCAGAGGCTACGTGACCTCTGCTGTTTGCTCCCAGTATATCTATCCTTATAGTAAAGATAGTTTCCTTTCTCTCCCTACGCACCAATATAGTGCTCAAGAGGCTCCAATACCCCGTAGGGACATATTCTCTTATATATCAAATTGAATTGTATTGAATCAACCTATACATGATTGAAGGATTTGTTGGGTTAAAAAAGAGGTCATCATGCCTTGCAAGGTCCAAGATCAAGGGCTGATCGCACCATTATAAAGACAGTGATTAGGCCTAGAAATAAGAGAGAAGTTGAAATTGCCATTGCGTCTCAAATTGAAATTAGCATGAATGACTTCAGATTAGTTTGTGCCTCTTTCCTTGTATGTACCCTCGTCTTAGCTCTCGGCTCCCCTTTCCTTTCATTTGCTCCTACTATGCTTAGCGGACGGCTTATATGCCAGCCAAAGCCAATCGTGAAAAGATGTACTCCGGTACTAGAAGGATAGCCAAAAACGTGTCTAGCCCCTTTTCACCCTACGCTGTCTCCACTGGTAGGATTTTTTTGGCTCTCGTGGGACCGCACCTATGAGATTTCTCCCAACAGATCTGACAAACATGCTCAGGCACATCAAGTGTCTGCCTGTATCTGATACAGAGAAACATCTGCGACCAGTACTTCATTCAGAGGTGGAGAGTCGCATCGACGGTACTCCTTAGTACATCCGAGATTGCGGGGGATCTGCAGATACCCGTCGAATCCACAGTGGCGCATTATGTTTCGTGGCGTATGTCCGTGCGCAACCTGTCACCTCGACGACTGGGTTATCCTCCTGGAAGCCCGAGGCTTGAGACGGTGCCGCTACATATGTCCTCGATCCTTGAATATAGATCGAGGCAGCGAGAGATCTAGAGTCGGTAGAACACACGGGCTATCGATCATCTGCCTCTTTGATGCGCATACTCAATAACCCTACGATACTAGTCTGAGTCCGTCTCGTTTGGCAAGGGCCTTTGAAATTCAGCTATGTTACCGTTGAGATTTGTTTCCTGCAGAGAGAAAGCCTGCGGCATCTATCCATCCCCATCCCATCTTGTACCGCACAAATGAAGGCTCTGCTCTTCCGCTGACTCTCTTTCCTCATCCAGTAAAGAGGATATCTTTTGTTTCAATGGGCTTTGTGAAGACCCAAATCTCAAAGCTCTTTACATTTCTCACTATCGTAGGTACAGAGCCAGAGGACCCACCCGTGGCTTACCAACCTACGTATTTCAAGAATAGCCAGAGCGCCAGTTCGCAGGAAAGTGTCGGTCTAGTCAGTCACCAAATGTGCTTCGGTAAGCTCGAATTCTCCAGACCTCTTCTCATGCGAGTACAAATCCGACAATATGAGTAGCAGAAGACGTGATTTTAGCTATAGTAAGCAGAGGCTTAAATGATCACCCTCACTAACTTATTCTCTTGTATATCAGCTCTAGGATTTAGAGCTTGCTGTATCGATATAATCCCGACATTCCTGTGAGCTTCTTAACCCCAGCAGTCCAGAGGATTTTTCTGCTGACGAGGAACGAGTGGAAGGCAAGATTCCATTATGAAACGCTTCTACGGATAAGAGTGTGCATATTCATGGACTCAATAAGTGCTTATCAATAGTCAAAGTCGTCTCGGCGCCATAAGAAGTACGGTGCCCTATTCACGGCAAGTTTGAGGCGCACTTACTCCAAAGATTTCGACAACACAGCAGCATGAGACAAATTTGAAACAGTATCAATACCAGAGCATCCCGAGCCACACTTAGCAAATTTAAAAGCTAATCTGTCTCCATAAATCCCATTGGCGTGGGAACATTGATCAGGGTTCTTGCTTGTTTTGCACAATGGGCAGAAGTGACAGAACTTTTATCATAAATACTGCAGAGTCAGAAGTTATACACAGAAGAGTCTCTTGCACAAAGTATGCCTTTCCCGCTTTTTTTTGCCGTCCTCCTACGGACAAGAAGTAGAGGAAAACTATCTTAAATATATCTAAGAGGAATAAATGGGAAGCCTACTAAGAAACCTATTGAAAAGACCGCTGAAAAGACCATTCAAGAACCCTATAAGAAATAAATTGTAAGGCCGCATAAGCGGCTGTGTACCCTTGTTACCCATCCTGCAATTCCAAACGACGAAACTAGGTTATCTGTAAAAGTCCTTACCTGAACATGGAGCCAAATATCAAAGCACGATCATCAAGCTAGTTGAGCTACAAATCGATTGGGGCATATTACCGGGCCCTAACTGTATGACTTGTCTTACCCAATGAAAAAGCCTCACTAGAGTAGGCAGAAAGCAATCTATCGGTACTGATATTATTCAGAACACTCGACAGAGTACTCTCATCAGACGTGGGTTCCTCTACGAGATTCCGCTACAGGCGAATCCAGCATTGGCCAGTATGTAGTGCCTTGACACCACTTATCGATTCAGTATTCCGAGAAGCTATATATCCAACACCAGTGGTGTGAAAGCAATTGTATATGCAATATGTGAGTGGGTATCTGTGCTTGGGACTAGGTTCGATATTATGCCGGAGTGCCTTCCCCAAGGCTTCTATTGCTGTTACTTGATTAAAATACATACATATGAAACACAATTCTGCAACACAACGGCTCAGTAACTTCGAATGGCCTGGACCTTAGGAGTAAATTAATCTATTATTCTGCAAAACCTCTCACTCCGAGTCGATCTATGCCGCGGCGATGGCAGTCTGGCAGGAATACTAATACGCCTCATATTTTCTAGAAATTGAGAGGCGCAGCAAGCATCTCGCCCAGACAGCTGAGCGTATAAAATCGCATGGATCATATACCTGGGTGAGATGAGATATCTAGAAAGCCTTGTGACTATCACACTTCGCCGTTATCCCTTGTTGGATACACTAGATATCGCCCATCTATCTGATGTTGGTTATACCCCTCGACAAATTTAAGCCCGGACTGGGGCGTATCATGAACAACAGGTTGTATTTGGTGTGGGTGCTAACCATCCTCCATCCAAGCCAACCTTAGGACTAGGTCGCTTTAAGTAAAATATCTCAACAAGTATCAACCAATTGACTCTTTAATGGCTACCGATGATGAGAATCGAAACGTCTTGCGTTGAGTTGGGTCCTATTTTCTAAGGCGGGGAACGCCAATCAAATTCACAGAGCCTCGACCCTTGACGGTCCAACAAGGCTGAGCAGCCCCCAAGAGTATCACAGGTCAGTAATTGCAGTCTAAACATTCCCAAGGCTGTACTAATCAAACATTCCTCAATATATCAACTGTCTTATTAATAGAAAATCCAATCACCGTTCACAAACTTATGAGGCTTTCCCCGCCACTTTGGTGGCCTCGTTTCCAGCCCAACCCAACCCAACCAACATGTCCATCTTACAAAGAAAACCGAAGAAACAAAGAAACCAACAAAAAGCCACGGTTATGGCATATCATATCATATGAAAAAGCGTAATTCGTTAATTGGATTGACCAATAAGGTAGGTAGTCCACGGCGTGGCCCGGGAGCACAGCGTATAAAAAAAGAGAAAAAAATGAAAACAAAAAGAAATAAAAATTGAGAGCAGAAGTCGGGTGTGGTCAACAATAAGCAGAGCCAGAGCCCGACAAAACGATTTCATGCGCCACCAAGTGCAGGATTTGAGGCAAGACAGATGCAACACACCATCCACACCCATGCTCGCCTTAATGCGCCAACGGCAATGACAAAGATACACCCCGGTCCTGGCCTGCTTATCCCCGCCCAGATGGGCCAAGAGACCAGGTGACATGAATGCAAATCGAAGTCCCCAAATGCCAAAACGTCCCGATGTTTTGTGGCACAGGCAACGCAAATGCGAAGAGCGGAGCATTGGGAACGCCCCGACTCCTAGTTGAGATAAAAAAAAAGATAGATAAAAGTTGAAAATAAGATTTGAAGCATATTGCAGGCGTGATTTGTCGTGTGTGATCATGGTTCATGGATGTCATGGGTGATTTAATTAACAGACTGGCGTCTCCCCACAGCAGGAGGACGGCCGTCCTCTTCGTAGTAAGAATAATAGGGGCGTCTCGGCGAGTAAGTGACATCATCTCGCTTGTATGCCCTGGCGTATTTGATATCATCCCCGCTCGGGCGGGGAATATATTCGACGTCCGGATGGGGACGAGAAGAAGGGCGCGCAGACCGAGTTTCATAACGGGGCAAGGCTTCCGTGGTGTAGGTACTGCTTCGCTTAGGTGTCTGTCGTGTAGAGGGTATGCGCTCCCGATCAGGAGACCTCGCCGAGCGGTACTTTGACGACTTCGGTTCTACAATGATGTGGTCTGGTTCCTTGACAACCTTGTAACGGAATGAAGTCTTGGGAGAACTGCCCCTTGGAAGCGCATCAGGGGTACTGGGACTGGAATAGCCCGAGTCTTCGCGCTCGCGCATTCTGGAAGGTCGCGATGGCACTCGCTCACGGCTCATTTCGTGTAGTGTTGATTCTCGAGTCTGCTTTGGGCGAACGAAGCCAGCGGTGGTTGCAGAGCGGGTACTGAGGAATGACGGACGGAAAGATCCCATAATACCTGGAGCGGTTGCGTAGGGTTGCAATTTAGGTGGCTTGACATCATAGGTTCGAGGCGACTCCAGGTGCTCATAAGAATCATCGCGCGATGAAGAACGACGGGTACGGGTGGACCGTCCCGCGGATCGCGACCCGGACAACTCTGGTTCCGCCGAGTCGTGACCATGGTGCCGTCGTGGGGACTTGGAACCCTGGACTTTGGATGCGATATAGTCCTCTGCCTTGAAGTACTGATTATCAAGCTTGGACCAGTGATCGTCTGTATCGTCATCCTCGCCGTAACGGTGCTCACGGCGGCGTGAAGAGTCCGATGGTCGGGGTCGTGAGTCGCGCTCTCGGCGGGGCGTTGTGGAAGCACGTCTGGTATGGTAGTGGGGAACACTAGAATCAGATGTATCCTCGTCGGATTCTGCATGACATCCAAAAGTATCGCGCTTTGCCTCGGCCTGTCGCCGTCGCTCCTGATCGCGTGTCTTTTCACGGTCGGAATGTGTTGCCTTGGCCGTCTTTCGCTCTTCTTTCGCTTGGTGATACGTGCTCATCGGTGTCCGAGTCTTCTTCTTATCTTCCGTCGGTTTCGTCTTTGGGCGCAGGCCAAACTCTTCGCATTTACGAGCCGTCGTGGAGCGTGGTTCCTCTGTGAATCGTAATTCTTCCTCAAAGAAAACTTCTATCGGGACCCTCTCCTCCATATAGTGGCCATTGCGGAATTCGCGAGTGCTGGCTCCACTCCCCCGCGGAGAGTTGTAGGTAGAGTCTGTTCGTCTGCGTTCCAGCAGTTCACGCTTTAACTCGGCTATCTTGACTTTTTGGTCATATTTGGTCCGTCGGACATCGTCTGAAAGCAGTTCATAGGCCTGTTGGACTTTCTGGAATTCATCTTGAGCAGCAATCCGCTGCGACTCATCTTGAATCTTATCTGGATGGCACTTGAGAACCCGCTTGCGGTGAGCGGCCCTGATTTCAGGGATGGTGGCATCCTTGGCGACACCAAGCACTGCATATGGGTCTATATCTGGTGGTGTGGACATTGCGGACAATGTATGCTTTCAATTGAATGGGATGAAAGAAGATAAAAATGAGTGGGAAAGAAGCGGTGGAGAAGATATGGAATGTCAACAACCTTACGTTGACGTAGCAAAGATTCCACACCGATCCAGAATGAACTGGAGATGATTTGCAATGGGAGAAAATCAAGGGAATTGTCCACAATATGGCCGATTAACCGTGCAAACCCAAAAAAACACCCCCAAACCCGAAAAAGACCAATGGGACAATGAATCAGCTGTCAGAGCGGCCTCTCAGGGAGAGCCGTAGGGGGCGAATGACTGCGCCACAAAGAGAAGAATTCAGTACGGAGTACCTAATATGGAGACGTAGAGAGTCACATAGATAAAATCTTATCGAGACGTTCGAAGATGCCAGATGCCCAACCTAATAACCTCTCTGTACTCATTCCTCCGTATTAAAATCCTTCTCTTTTCACCGGTTATTGGTCTGAGCACTTCATCCGATTTGTTGGAAAATCTTGCCAATCAAAAGCCTCCAGCATTTTGACCGTGTATGTTGTAGTGGGGCGATCAATCAACACAGTGCCATTCAGAGGACCGGGGCTCCCCCACCTCTCTTTCTCTTCTCAAATCGTCATGACGCCAATCTTTCCTTCTTTTCTCGATCCAGTCTCTCCTGCATGCATATGTATCCCCAACTTTCCTCTAATTAGTGCGGGTTTTTGGCCCTTTTAGGTTCGGTCGCCTCACTAATTTCGGTTTATTTTTCTTATTTTTCTCCTTTTCTCATTTTCTCATTTTTTCGCCTTCAGGGCACACCCAGTCAGATCCAACTCACCTGTTTAACCTGAAACCTTTCATTGGTTGAGTGGGTATTGTATTCTATACCGTACCGTAAAAAAAAATCAGTGCCTGACTCGTCCCATGGTAATCTCCGTCTTCCCGAAAGGTTCCGTGGGCCTTAAATTTCTTTCTCTGAAGAATGTGCAGGTTTCTATATATAGTCAGATCATGTTCCAATATTTCACTTTGCAATAGGCAACTTGCTGATACCATGACTTGAGATTTCTACTCCGTATATATGTTGGTAGTAGATACGGAACACGGAGTACCTTGGACCGTTCAGGCATTGATTCGCACCCAATCTCCCAAGCTAAAACCGCTGGCACTTGTCCCACACCGGCTCCATTATACGTGTCTTTGCTAAATACCCCCACCCGAGACTACTTATCTTCCAACCATTAATGTGCACTTTGTAGACTATGAGACAATTGCACGCTCTCTGAATGAAACTACATTGTACTCCGTACTCCGTACTCCTGTCTCGGACCATCCGGTCCATCCACTGGTTTCTAGTCATCTGGACCCGGTACTGCGGTCCGCGCGGCGCAGAAATTATCTAGACTACTGCTGAACAGAACTGCGTGTGGCAGCCCTGATCATAACAAGTTTATTGGCAAATGCCGAGCGAATGAACTCTGTGTCAGCATTACCATATTACCTATGTTGTAGGTACTATTATCTTTACTATTGCTACTGCCTAAATAGCTTTGGTTTGGCCGAGACTGCCATGTGTCTTTCTATTTACGACATGGTGTCAAGATGTCCCAGGTCTCAAGGCGAGAGAGAAAGGCCCACGATCCATTCAAATCCTCGCCTCGAATACTCTACTTCTACACCCCTCACTATTTTCTCTGGTTGTGTCATTTGCCATTTTCGTGTGTGATAGTGATTGTAGTATACCGGTTCTTAGTCTAGGAGTGGTTGATTTATTTACCACGCTCACTCTTTCTAACTCAACTGTACCAGCCGAATCCATAATCCTCCGATCCCATCAGCGGTGCTCGTGAGGTCACACAGTGTCTCCCTCTGAAACACAGGGTTGTAACCTTATACGCTTAAATCGTGATCTACAGATACCCCTCTTCCCTGACAGTCACGCAACCTGACTGGGACTGGGGTCGGTAAATTCAGGATTGGACGAGGGTGAATAGATGGGAAGAAGGGGTTTATTTGTATAGTTAGAATCGTAGGCCCGCTCAAAAGGCCAAGTGGATTATTTAGGCAGGTAAGAAAGGTAGCGATGGCGATGTATGCAGACTACGTACTGAAATGCATTATATATGCTGTGGCTGGCTTGAAGTTGTAGGTTAGCTACCCGGCAAACAGGAATGCAGATGCAATGCAGGCTGCAATAATGATGTCTAGTATTACCCTCTCATGCAATAGCACTCTCTACTATTACATGGTACTTATGTTGTACGAGTTACGGAGTAATGTGGCCAGACCTCTTCGCTCGGCCACTAACCGCTTTCTAGAAAGGGGTGTGCCAAACTAAGCAGCGACCCTTGCGAGAAACAAGTGTTTCCCACGAGTGTGGGTAAGAGTATTCGAACCGAGCACAAATGCGGGCTCCCCACCTATGATTAATACATGATCGGCCGCACATATGTTGTTGTCACATCGGGTATCAAGGAGAGGGTAGGAGGAGGCCATGCAGTCAAGATGTGATCTTGGCCCAAAGTTTGCCCACTTATAAGTCGTTTAGAAGCGCTACGGATTCCAGAAGTTTTGAGTTTGGGAGAGATCCCCGTTGCAGATGACTTGTGTAAATCACAAGAAACTTGCAACATACGATCAACCCAAGTTGTGATATCACAAGCGCGTGTGGCTTGATGTGATTGCGATCGGTCAGATGGGTTTGTACATTACATGCGGGGTATACATGAGGAATAGCCTGGCGTTTGTGTAGTTTGAAAGAGCGAATGGTAAATTGTTTCTTTTTCCCACCCTTCTATTACTCTGGCCAATATCGAAATCTATTACGGAGTACATTCCTACAGTAAGGAGCATGTAGCTTACGCTCAAGGTGCATTGGCAGTCTGACGGGCTCACCACCTAGGCAGGGGCCAATGCACAGTTTAAGAAATGATGTAAGCGTGGGCAGTCTGACAGCACTAGGATCGTGCATCAAGTCACTAGCCGACCAATGTTAGAAAACATAAAGCACCAAGGCGTCCAACCACCAGCATCAACAGGGCCAAAGCCCTGGTCACTGTACGGAGCATGTCCCAGGGAAATGGTAAACTCTGGCGTCAAGCCACCATGCATGGTCAAAACAAAGAGAAGATTGCCGTTGCGATCGATGGGACACCCGTAATAAAATGCAATTTCCCAAAGCTGCTTAATCTCACAAGTTCATCCATTCGCAACCGCGTGGTCATCCTGCCACACGGGAAGTTCAAGATCGACCACAATCGGCGAATTGAACCGTTTGCCCCCTGGTGCGGCCAACTAGTGGACACAACAGCGGCGTTGACAATGCAGGTCTCCCTTCTTAGTGTTTGCAAGGCGTAATCTAAATCCCGGCTACTGGAGCCAGGCCTACCCGCACCCAGGGGCAGATGAGCGCTCGGCGAGTTTCGTGGACTTGCCTTTTCAAGAACTCCAACAGATGACTCTGACCCTGGTGAGGCTGATGACATCGGTTGTGTCTCCGCTAAATCATGCTGTCTTTGCCCAGGATATGAAAATCCCTCGTTGTCTAGTCGTTTATCCCGTTTGCCAGTCAAATCAACAAGGCTCTGTTTCTTACTTCCCATGGGTGGCAGAACGCCTCGAGTGACATGGTCAACTGAATCAGCTTCTGGTTGTGTTTCTGTTTCTGTCTTGATAGGTTTGCCTTGCCAGTAAACTCGTTCGTACCCTCGTCCTTCATGCACATGGCCACAAACAGCTAAATGCGGCCTGATGAGGCTCAATGCACTACGAAGTGCAGCGCACCCCACGAATATTCCATTAGGTTTCTGGTCGCAGTGAGACCGTGGTGGCGTATGCGTGACGAGGATGTCCGTGTCGATTGGTATCTGACTCCACAGCGTAGCAGCATCATTTGATTCGTATCCAAAGGCCCAGTTTCCCTGTGATGGCGAGTACGGGGACCCAAAGATTTTGAATACTGTGTTTGGTCCGTCTGCTCGCGTCAAACGAATCAAGGCGGGCTCATGGCGAAGTAAGACGACCGAAGGCGACTCCGTGATCAATTTTAGGCAGTGATGTGAATCTTCGAGAAACTGGCCGTGGAAGCTTTGTCCATGATCTCCGTAAAATATTGGGTCTAAGGTGACATCGTGGTTGCCTGTTCAAAATGTTAGGCGGGTTTGGGTTGAGCTTTTCCTGCTAACGAAATGGTGAATTTTTGCAAACAGTGAAGATATAACTTCTATTAATGACGTGGATAAGTCAAGTATATATTGGGCGTGTCAACAACACATTGGAGAACTGACCACCGACTAAGATCTTAATTTCAAAGTCGGCCTTGCAGATCCAATCCATTGTCCTGCGGAGCTCTTTTAGGCTTCCATTGTTTGTCAGGTCGCCGGCATGAATCAAGACATCCCCTGAGGGTAGTTTGAAGCCGGCTTCGGAGGGTGTATATCCGTGTGTATCAGAGACGCAGACGAAACGCGTCTTTTTCCGCATGACTCCGGCACACAGAGGACCCCCGCCTCAAGGTGTGTTATTGAATGGAAAGCAGGTTGGATTGTTGAAGTTTGATGAGATCGCAAGTGAATAACAATAGTGGAACATGAGGCTCAGTCAGAAGTCTCTTTGGCCTTGGTTATCTCTACGAGAAAGTTCCTTTTGGGGGAAAAAAACAATGGCCTCGACCCGCGCGGGCGAGGTTGGATATATTAGTCATCGGACCCAATGTTTCCACCTGAAGTTGCCTAGATCATAGATCTGGCAATCGAACAAGGCGATAAGACAGTATTCAATGTTGATAACAAGAAGCGAGTTTACATGGAAGTGCAAAGGGAGTTATAGCTATCTACTCTTGTATGTTAGTGTGACATTGAGGTTTTTGTAACGAATATTGGAATTATATCAACTCCCCGTTCCTTGCAACTTTCAAGATAACCAGTCGACCTTGCAATGACCTTCTAGAACAGGGTACATATATCAGCCCTAAGCCAATGCCCTAACGGCACAAAGAAAAGAGAATCCTCATGGCGCACAGTGAGAAATAAAAGTATTACATAATACGATATCGAGCGGAGTCAGGAGAGGAAGGGCACGTGACATAGATAGCCTATGATTGGTCGGGCTTAGGGCTGCGACCCTCGCCATTAACACAAAGTGAGCGGACCCTCGCTTAGCCCATTCTCATCGAGCCATCCGACTTCGTTGTGTGCGTCGACTTGACACCCACGACAACAACCGCCGACAACATCCATCCCACGGGACATTAGATCACCAGGATGTCCTCCTTCGAATCAGTGGTGCGTTTTTACCCAACGACTTGAGTGCCGTTACTCTCGCCTTCAAAGTGCCCATATCGAATCTGTCGCTGACTTGAATTGTTTGGTAATAGGTCGTCATCGACGGCAAAGGACACCTCCTCGGTCGTCTGGCCAGCACTGTCGCCAAGCAGCTGCTCAACGGTCAGAAGATCGTCGTTGTGAGATGTGAGGCCCTCAACATCTCCGGCGAGTTCTTCCGCGCGAAGCGTACGTTCAATCCCCTCTCGAATAATTCCTATGCGTTATGTGTGATATTGGGAACTATGTGAACTGGTGGAGGAAATAAACGAACGACAACACTCGCAACTCGAAAATCACTGGCAGTCTATGGCAATTTGAACCAATTTTTGGAGGAAATGCACTACAAATTGGATATCAGAAAGCTGACTCGCAACTCCGCCATACAGTCAAGTACCACGCCTACCTTCGCAAGATGACTCGTTTCAACCCCACCCGTGGTGGCCCCTTCCACTTCCGCGCTCCTTCCCGTATCCTCTACAAGGCCATCCGCGGTATGATGCCCCACAAGACCGCCCGTGGTGCTGCCGCTATGGAGCGCCTTAAGGTCTTCGAGGGTGTCCCCTCCTCCCTACGACAAGAAGAAGCGTGTCGTTGTTCCCCAGGCTCTCCGTGTCCTGCGTCTCCGCCCCGGTCGCAAGTACTGCACCGTTGGCCGTCTCAGCCACGAGGTTGGCTGGAAGTACCAGGATGTTGTTTCCAGGTATGTACAATTTCTGATTTATCACCCGAGCGTGGCTTGACTCAATCGGCAAATTCTAACCCAATCACAGACTCGAGGAGCGCCGGAAGGTCAAGAGCAAGGCTTACTACGAGCGCAAGAAGGCCGCTCGTCGTGTTCTTGCCAAGGCCGAGCAGGGAGCGAACGTGGACAGCAAGACCAAGACCCAGCTTGCTCAGTATGGCTATTAGATACCTTTAGCGCGGCTGGTTGTTGTGTCGAGCGATGGTTCTGGGATGGAATCGCGGGCGGATTTGAACGGCAAGCCGACCGACCTTTTTCTGCGGCCCGATTCCCTAACTCATGAATACCACTGTCTGTGACGCACATGACGGCACGGGAATTGGGGGTCTTCGAAATTTTCAGAAGTCGAAAAACGGAGTCGTTTGGGATTAAAAGGTTCAAAATAGCTGGCCGTTGACTCGCGCCGTGGCGGTTTAATCCAGAGAAACAATTTTCAAGAGTTCAACATGATTCTTATGATCAAAAAATACTTTGACCTATACTTTTTCTTTTATTATCATGGTAATCCCCTTGATTTCCCCTGTAACATACTGAACATGTATCTTGCCTATGTGTATCCCCACATTGCCCCGAGTATACATATATTAGAGCCATGGAGCCAGAGTTATCAAATGTGACGCCAGTCAAATTCCAAGATGAATGCTTGTATCCACTGTCCCCACACAACTTAGCCAATCCATGATAATCCATTGAAGCGACTATAGCCATAGGTAGATCAAGCCATTCCCGAAATTGAGGCCATACCTCAATCCCTTAGTCCGGTGATACGCCCCCAGAACTGGTAACCGAACTCCCCCCGCCTCCCCCTTAGCCGCGGCCTTAGTCCCATCCCCGCATTTCTCCAACTTGGAGATTTCATTTATGTGTCCAATACTAGTATCTCACTTCACTTTGGCTTGCGTCTTTTCTTTCAACTTAGGTTTTTCGTATTGAAGAATTCATCAATTCAAACTCCCGGTATAATATGTCTGGTTCGAAGTCTCGGTTGTCTGGCCTGCTTGGCCATTTCACAGGTTCAACACCGCCGTCCGAACCTCGTGTTAATACCCATACCCTATCCCCGACTTTCTTCCTTCCTCGTGCTGCCGCCGTTGAACCTAATGTAAGTTCATTACAAATGGCACCGAGGTATCTCAATGATCTCACAAAGAACCATACAGGCTGAGGCGATCTACCATGTAACCGCCAACAACAAAATCCTTCGCAGGAGCTATGGCGAGACTGCAGATCGAGCGAGGGGTATGGCTTACTACCTCAAAAAACATGGGTTCAACAGAGTAGGGATACTCTGTCCGAATACCCCGGCATTTCTCGAGTCGATTTTTGGAATCGCCGCAGCTGGCGCTGTCAACATTGGTAAATCAATTGTCTTGAGAGGAGAGACATCGCTTACCGATTAGACTGACATGATTCTAGCTGTCAATTATCGTCTAAAACACGAAGACATTGCTTATATTTTTGACCATGGTGATGCAGAAGTGATCATCGTCGACGAGGAATATGTTCCACTCTTGGAGAGCTATCGATCTCAACACCCCCACATCCCTATTATCGTAGATACCGATACCGATGCAACGGAGGGTGAGCTGACGGGCCCCTTCGATGAGGCTGTTCTGGAAGGCCTCAGGCATGACATCGACACAGGTTCTCAGGGTTGGGAAGGACTCGAGAGTCAAGCTGCCGATGAAGAGTCCACAATTGCATTGGCATATACTAGCGGGACTACAGCTCGTCCTAAGGGCGTCGAGTTCACTCATCGAGGCTGCTATCTGGCAACATTAGGAAACATCATTGAGACTGGTCTGAACTACCACCGTGGACGTGCGCGTTATCTATGGACGCTACCCATGTTTCACGCTATGGGTTCGTGATTTTTCTTCCCTTGGAGTGCTCTGCAAGTTATCCGCATAACTGACCTATGTATTTTACACATAGGCTGGACTTTTCCATGGGCAGTGACAGCCGTTCGTGGAACCCATTATTGCCTGCGCAAGATAGACTACCCAGAAATCTGGAGGCTGCTGAAAACGGAGCATATCACCCATTTCAATGCTGCACCAACTGTCAACACCTTGCTTTGCAACGCGAAAGAAGCAGAGAGACTTCCCGAGCCCGTCCGCGTCACGGTGGCAGCAAGCCCACCCACGCCACTCCTCTTCGAGCAAATGACCGACCTAAACTTACATCCTGTACATACTTACGGAATGACGGAGACATACGGCCCAATCACCAAGGCCTATCACTTGCCAGAATGGGACGTGCTTCCTCTCAAGGAGAAATATCAGAGGATGGCCCGCCAAGGCCACGGCTTTATCACAAGTCTTCCAGGTCGGGTCATCAAGACCGAAGTGCCCGAAGGAACTATCGTGGATGTTCGCAAGGATGGCCAGGAGATTGGCGAGATTTGTTTTGTTGGAAATATATGTGCCCGGGGATACTACAAGGACCCCGAGGCAACTCGGAAACTATTCGCAGGAGGTGTTTTGCACTCCGGAGACTTGGCTGTCTGGCATCCCGATGGTGCGATTCAGATTCTTGATCGTGCGAAAGATATCATCATCAGTGGTATGTGTAGCCAGTAGCTCAACCTCCAATAGATCAGACTGCTAACGAGAATTAGGCGGTGAAAACATCTCCTCTGTTGCACTTGAGTCTATGCTGGTCATGCATCCTGACATTTTGGAGGCTGGTGTCGTTTCTGTTCCTGATTCTCATTGGGGCGAACGACCTAAAGCCTTTGTTACAGTAAAGGAAGGCAAGAGCCTACAAGGCTCAGAATTAATTGATTGGGCTCGTAATGTTAGCGGAATCAGCAAGTTTATGATTCCTCGAGAAGTGGAAGTGGTTACTGAACTACCCAAGACCAGCACTGGCAAAATCCAGAAGAATGTCTTGCGTGACTGGGTGAAGGGTTCGAGAAAAGCTTAGACAAAGACTATTGAGATGGAGTTATTTCTAGATAGATTGTTAGATCTCTTTGAATACATGTGGGAGATATTCTGGAAGAAAATAGGGCTTTCCTGGGGGAGTACATTCCTATGAGGTCAGATGTCCGGTACTCCCGCATTGAGTAGACTGATTGTAGATCAAGCACGAGGTCACTTCAAGTGACCTTGAATCTCGTCTTTCATAGACTGGCTCAGCAAGGCAGACTGATCCTCATTTTCTCTGATAGAAAGGGTTTACAAGTCAAGTTTACCCGAAAGGGCTGTACTGTCTACAGACCATCCATCTTATCAAACGATAAGCAGTGCTTGGCACTGACTCCGCAGCACTGTGAGACCCGGGCCCCATTGCCTCATCTCCCCCTCCATTACCGCTTTTATCCTTCACATTTACTTGCATTGATTTTCCTGGTCACGCATTTGCATCTGACCCAAGGGGTGCTTGGGATCATGATCTAGATCGGTTCGACTTCATTTTGAACCTGCCCTTGTCAACCTCTCCCTTGCCATCCCAAATACGCGCCGCGAAACCACGCTTACATCCCTCGTGCACCCACTTTGCTGCAGATATCTCCCGAAAATTACATTCATCTACTAGTCTTCAGACAAAAAGCAAGGTCTTAGGGCTATTGACTGATCAAAGACTGGCTGCATCTGTGGACCAGACTTACCTGTTCCAGTCTCACATGCACCGCCCATGCAGAGTCCCTTGAAGTTATGAGATTTCAACCATACCGACACCCGAAAAATATATTGAAGCGAACCTCGAAAAGAGAATCTACATCAGCTAGAATGCATCGGCCACGAGAAGCCGGTCGATGCTCAAGTGCAGCCCCTTCCGAAACCTCTGGATCGACGTCACCCGAACGTGCCGCCGATGATGACACCGATTTCTTCATGGCCCAGGCCAACGACTCGCAATCTTCCATCGGTGTGGCTAATTTCCGCGATTCTCGCTTGTCAAGTGAACCGTCCGAGCCACTGCCACCGATCGGCCGACTCCCACCCGAGATCCTAATCGCGATCTTCTCGAAATTGGTTGCGCCTCTAGATATGCTCAATTCCATGCTAGTGTGTCGTGGATGGGCTGCCAACGCTGTAGGGATACTGTGGCATCGTCCGACTTGCAACACCTGGGCCAACGTGAGAAGCGTGACTACGTCGTTAGGGAAACCGGACAGTCTTTTCAACTACGCAGACCTTATCAAGAGACTGAATCTATCTGCTCTCTCAGATGATGTCAGCGATGGAACTATCCTCTCTTTCAATCAGTGCAAGCGGATTGAGCGGCTGACATTGACAAGCTGCAAGAACTTGACGGACAAGGGCGTGTCGGACTTGGTGGAAGGGAACCGGCATCTGCAGGCGCTGGATGTTTCAGAATTGCGACACCTTACAGACCACACGCTCGCCACGGTGTCCAGGGACTGTCCCCGTCTGCAAGGCCTGAATATCACGGGATGTTCAAAGATCACCGACGACGCCTTGCTCATTGTATCACAAAATTGTCGTCAAATCAAAAGGGTATGTGGATTATGTGCGGGATTTTGGCTTGATCCCAGTCACTAATTGTATAATAGTTGAAACTCAACGGAGTCTCTAATGTCTCAAACCGGGCCATTCAGTCTTTTGCCGAGAACTGCCCGTCTATACTGGAAATTGACTTGCATGACTGCAAACTTGTTACGAGCATATCAGTTACTCCACTGCTCACAACACTGCGACATCTCCGAGAACTGCGGCTCGCGCACTGCACTGAAATCGACGACAGTGCGTTTATTTCTTTACCTCAAATGACCTTCGACAGTCTTCGCATCCTTGATCTCACCGCATGCGAGAACGTCAGGGATGACTCGGTGGAGAGAATCGTGCGTGCAGCTCCTCGCTTGCGGAATCTGGTACTAGCAAAATGCCGATTTATCACAGACCGATCTGTGATGGCCATTTGCAGGCTAGGAAAAAATCTCCACTATGTGCACCTGGGCCATTGTTCGAATATCACAGACTCGGCCGTGATGAACCTGGTCAAGTCCTGCAACCGAATTCGATACATCGACCTGGCCTGCTGTAACCTCTTGACGGACCGTAGTGTACAGCAATTGGCTACCTTGCCGAAGCTCCGAAGAATTGGGCTAGTCAAATGTCAAGCCATCACCGATCAGAGTATATTAGCATTGGCACGGCCCAAAATGGGCCATCATCCTTCTGTCAGCAGTCTAGAG